CACTCTTACGTCTAGTCGGTTAACTGTAGATGAGGGGCACCGATAGGGGGGGGGACTGGCATAGGGGGGGACGCGTCGACCTGGAATCGGCAATACATCGCTGATAGATCGGCCGGCGATAGGCCTCCGATAGTGAATCCGCACCTTGCTGGGCAGGCTGGGGCTATCGGGCCCCTATCGGCAAGCAATGGGCGATTGGGGATCGATACATCCCCCCCTATGCCCATCCCCCCATGTCGTTAAGTCGGGCCTGGCCCCCTACAGGGGGATTTTCGACGAAAAAGAAAAAATACACCCAAATTGTCCAAAAATAATCTGGGGACTATTTTTTGAGCATTTTGCCAAATATTTTGTATTTTTCGTCGAAAATCCTCCCGTAGGGTTATGTTCCTCCCATCCCACTTAAGGACCACATCCCAAAAATAACTTCGAGCACCCAGAAAAGTGTCGAAAGAGTGTCGAAAGCGTGTCGAAAGAGTGTCTCCCAGGGCCCGACACGTGAAATCCCTCGATTTTGGGGGTGCTTTCTTGGTGCTCAATCTTCCGTCTGGTGACCAAGGCAAAAGTAGGTTGGAGCATCTTTACTGTAGGGGGACACGCCCGACTGAACCCTATCGTTGCCCCCGGGTAGACTGCCACCCCGTTGTAAAACAGGGCTAGGAACGGGATAAATCGCTCCAGAGCGTTCCGGAACGCCCTCAGAGCGTTCCGGGACGCTCTGGAGCGGCCGCGGCGCCCAATACATCCTCCAAACCCGCCGACTCTCAGAGATTTCGAGTTGCCCCGATCCGATTTTGTCCCGATCTTCGCGTCGCTTTACCCTTAACCCTACCGGTTTCGTACGTGGCTTCTTCGCCACATGATCAAGGAGGCTCCCCGATGGTCCCCACCGAGGAAGAAATGCACACGTCCAGGCGATGCAAAGGAGTAGACTTCGGGAGCGGCCAAGAGGGGGGTGTCCAAGAAAAGGGTGCAAATCATCACCGGCGGCATGTGCGCGGCCCAGCGGGAGGGCCAGGGACGTAATGAAATAAGAAGAGGCGCCATGATATCTGGGGAAATATCATGGCCCCCGCCATGATATCCCCCCCCCCTAATCATCACCTCCCTCTTTTCCGCCCCCGAAGACTGGCACCCCGGTGCCCCGCCGCCCCGCCGGGCACCGGCCGAGCCCCCGAGCTTTCGCCGGGCCGCGCCGGGCCACGGCGCCCTCGGGCGGCCGCCCCGCACGGCAGGCCTGCGGGCCGCGGCCCGCGGCCAGGAGCAGGGGGCAGCGCGTCCGCCCCGACACGAACCACTCCCGACACGCGAGGAGGCCTTCAGCACACGCGCCAAGGAGAGGGAAACGGTCGGGGCGTTGACCTAAGGAACCAAAATTATCCAGGCGAAAGACCCAACCATATGCAGTTGTGAGTGCCGCAATTGTGAGTACCTTTTTCGGTGGCGCTCCCTATGGGGCCACGAACCGCATGAGGGGTATGCCGAAATATGGCGGGGTACACAACGCAAAGGAATACGATTGGTCAGATTACGAAGGAATGAAAGCGGGTGAGCCAGAGCGCGAGAGAGTCTGAGTGTGAATGGGTCTGCGTGGGAGTGAGTATATTTGCATGAATGCGATCTTGGCTACGCCTAGTGTAAATGTATATGAATGTGAATGGCTCGAGCGCGCCTGTCCGAACACTCGTGACACTGGGCGTGGCCGCCGCAGGCAGCTTCCGCGGGAACCCCGACGGCAGCGCCCGCGCGCCGCGACGCCCATGTCGGCACGCCCCACACGGGGATCGCACCCGCTTCCGCCCCTTCTTTTCCCCCCTCTTTGCCTGCGCGCTCCAAAAATCCAAAGCTGCGGGCGCAGAGCAGCGCGGAGTCCCCGCGACGCGCGCAGGTCGCCGCGGAGGGGTCCCAGCGACGCGCGCAGGTCGTCCGCTGCGCGGAGCACAGAGAGCTAGCCGCCCGGCTGATTGCGGGCAAGGCTCCGGCCGCTGGGCAGAGCGACGACGGGCGAGCGAGGCGCTGAGCAGAGCGCCGCGCGGAATCCCCGCGACGCGCGCTGGTCGCCCCGAGAGGGTCCCAGCGACGCGCGCGGGTCGTCCGCGGCGCGAGGCCGAACAATTATGCGGGCAGTCGAGAGAAGGCGCGGCTCGGGGGGGGGCGCTCCTCAGGTCAGGCCTCGCGGATAAACTCGGTGAAGCCGAGCTCCCTGGCGAGGGCCGTCGCCTCCCTCCTGCACCGCTTCGTGCGCGCTGCAAACTGCTCCAGCTGCTTTCGCAGGCCCTCCGGCGGTCCTGCCAGGAAAAACTCGATGCGCGGCGCCCGCATGAGCAGGAGGTCCTCGTGGCGCGTGGCGCGCGAGAGCAGCGCATAGAGCTCCAGCCACCAGTCGTCGTCCTCCTTCTTGCCGTGCCCGACCTCGTGGCGGCCGCAGTCCAGGATCACACCTGGGCGACTCGGCCGAGGGAGCAGTGCGCCGGGGAGCCGACGGCCCAGGGCGAGAGTCCACAGGACCGAGGTCTGGCCGCGGACTGCTCGCGCCCCGGAGGTCTGGCCGTCCCCGGAGCGCCGTTCCCCCGCCCCGTCGCCTTCGCGCATGGTGCGCCCCTGGCACGCCACCGCGGTGATGACCCTGCCGTGCGAGAACCTGAGATGGAGCTCCCTGTGGGGCCACGAAACGTGTGAAGGGGTGCCCTGCGAACTGCACCACTGGGACCTTAGGTGCAGCTCCCTGAGGGGCCACGAAACGTGTGAGGGGTGTGCCAAAAAGGGGCGGTGGCGCCATGCGAGCTGCGCCACTTGGACCTCAGGTGGAGCTCCCTGAGGGGCCACGAAATCTGTGAGGGGTGTGCCAAAATGGGGCGGTGGCGCCATGCGAGCTGCGCCACTTGGACCGTAAATGGAGCTCCCTATGGGGCCACGAAACGTGTGAGGGGTGTGCCAAAAAGGGACGGTGGCGCCATGCGAGCTGCGCCACGTGGACCTTAGGTGGAGCTCCCTATGGGGCCACGAAGCGTGTGAGGGGTGTGCCAAAAGGAGCTCCCTGAGGGGCCACGAAATCTGTGAGGGGTGTGCCAAAATGGGGCGGTGGCGCCATGCGAGCTGCGCCACTTGGACCTCAGGTGGAGCTCCCTGAGGGGCGACGAAACGTGTGAGGGGTGTGCCAAAATGGGGCGGTGGCGCCATGCGAGCTGCGCCACTTGGAGCTCAGGTGGAGCTCCCTGAGGGGCCACGAAATCTGTGAGGGGTGTGCCAAAATGGGCGTGCGGGACGCATGCGGGCACACCCACTGGGACCTTCGGTGGAGCTCCGTATGGGGCCACGAAACGTGCGATGATGGCGACGAGGACAACGATGATGGTGATGACGACGATGATGGTGATGATGACGATGATGGTTATGATGGCGGCCTGATGTTGATGCTGATGACGATGATGATGATGATAATGATGATGATAATGATGATGATGACGATGATGATGATGATGATGATGATGATGATGATGATGATGATGATGATGACGATGAGGATGATAGGAGGGGAGAGGAGGCGGAGGAGGAGAGGAGGAGGAAGGAGACGCGGGGCACCGTCTCTTCAAAACGAGGACCCAACACCACAGGATGGTTGTCGGTCGGGGCGTTGACCTAAGGAACCAAAAATAAGGAACGAGGCCCCTCCGTTCCCAGAAGTGAAGCTTCGATTCCCCATCGACGACCCTGGGAGAACCTGAGGCGAGCTGTGAAACTATCAAGGAACACGGAGCGCCTCCCCAACGACAAGGGTTCCTTCTTCAGGACCCCTACTGTATAGGGCTGTTCAGTGAACGCCCAAGGCCGTTTCGTAAACGCCAAATTGTCGGGTCCGGGTGTTTCTTTTGACTACCTATACCAGGCCACCCCAACCCAACCCGAACACCCGAATTTGAATCGAATTTCGGGTTGGGGGGGGGTGCGGGCTCCATGTGTTTTCACGGTGTTCCCCGACCCCCCCCCCACTGGAAATGGAGGGCAAATTGAGGCCTTCGGGTTGGGTTGAGGTGGTTTGGTAAGCGGTGATTTTTCCTCCCTCGAAGAAGGGGTGCAGCTCGGAACGGCTCGGGCGCCCCGAAGAGAACACTCCTCGGGGACGCAGAGGGGGGCAGCCGGGGCGCGCCGTGCGGTGCGGGCACACTCGGCAGCCGCTTCGGCTCTCCGGCACCCTCCGAGACGAGTGCGATGATTTGGTCCCCGAGCCCGCGTTCATAGCCATCGGCGCCGCGGCGGTCCCCGCTCGCGGCGACGGCGCCGGTCGTCGGGGCCGTGTCGCACTACCCCCTGGGCCGAGGCATCCTGGGCCTTCAAACGGCTGGGGTGGGGGCCCGGTGCAGGAAGGGGGACGGGAGAGGAGGGGGGGTCAGAGGCCAGAGAGAATGGCGGAGGGCTGGAATGGAGAGCATCGGCGTCGGAGCTGAACGGGGGAGGCGGGGCGAGAGGATCGTGAAGGTGAAAGCTCTGGGGGAAGGTCCCTCTGAGCACTCTTTGCATGGATCTTTCTCCACAAGCAGCACGTCATCCCACAGTATCGAGATCGCTAGATTCCTGCCATGCTTCGCCGTTGGTGTTGGCGCTCGCGATTGAGCTTGAGACGCGCCCTCCGAATTTACTTTGGCGTTGAAATCCAGCACCGTGCCGCTAGGCACCGAATAAGGCTCCGACGCGGCCTAAGAAGGCTCCAAGAGGGGCCCAAGAGAGGGAGCTGTACCCCTCAAGATGCCCGAAATGCCGCACACAGTACCCCAAAGAAGACCCTGAGAGGCATCCCGAAAAACATCCATGGGCATCCAGGAGGCCTCTGACTCACAACTCAAGCACGGTGGCGGGATGGGCCTAATGCCACGATAACAGCTGCCCGAGTCCCCGGTCAGAATTCGGTCCCTCACCCCGCCCCTTTCGGGTTACACTCTGGCAAATACAATCCTTCTTAGGCTACTGCAGATTCAAGACGGTCCGAGAGGGGGCCTGAAGTGGTCCAAGAGCAGCAGATCTCCAATACGCCCCAAGAGGGCTCAGAGAGGACTACGAAAGAGAGACCGTGACATTATCATGTGGTGTTTGATGCATGTTCGCGCTCGTTTGGTGTCAACGCCTGCAAAAGAGCGAACTATGCCGTAAATGCTGCGAACACTGATGACGGCTCGGAATTCGCCATGGAATTGGCACAGCCGTCCAAGGCATTTACACAGCTACTCAACCAACGGCATCATAGACTGCAACATGCTGAAGCAATATCAGGCGAATCTGAATGCATGATTCGGCTGACGCGACGAGGGTCGGCAGAACTCATGGCCGGTTCTGGTGTGCGACTTCTAGTGGCTTTCGAGGAAACACCTGGCAGCTCTCAGAATCGCGATGCGCAAAACGCATCCTCCCTTTTGGCGCTGCTCTGCCGCAACTGGGGTCAATCGCCGATCAGCCCGCGGCTGGGCATAACCTCAGAGAAACCACCAGGGCAGCAGTTCGCTTGCTTCCAGTGCTCCTGGGCAAGGCTGCAGGGAGGCGCTGCAGCATGCTGGGCGGTTCGCGGGAGGTTCACGAGAAGGACAGATAGGACGAGAAAGCAATGCGGGAAGGACGTGGACAAGCAGGATGCAGGGAGGATGAGGACGAGCGCGCGGACGAGGACAATGAACGAAGATGGGTGGTCCATGAAAACATGGACGCAGGGAAAAAGATGGGAGGGGATAGGAGGGGAGTGAATGCGGACGGCAAGGGTCGGAGAGGAAGGAGCGGCAGGGCGGCGGGGGAGGAGGGGAAAATAGGGGAACAGAGGAAAAGATAGGAACGAGAGGAGGCAATGGGAGGACTCTGGACGGAAGCGGACGGAGGAAGGCCGGGGCAGGGAGGCTCCTCTGCGCAGATTCTTGGCATTCTCCACGGCGCGACGCCGAAACTGCATACGACCCACATCTCCCTGCTCGTTCTCTTAAACAGGTGGCAGTGGCAAGCGCCGAATCTTCCGTAGCCGCAAACTGTGCTCCGACCCTGGTCAGACAGAGGAGAAACACACGGAGGGGGGGCGGAAGAGGGATGTGGGCGGAGAAGGGGGTGAGGCGGGAGGAAGGGGAAGGGAGGGGAAGGGCGGAAGAAGGGGAGGAGGGAGGAAGGCGAAGCAGGACTGGGGGAGGGTGGAGACAGATGGAGAGAGAGAGAGAGAGATGGGCGCGGGAGCGGTGAGCAGGGAAGAAGGCGAGAGCGAACGAGCAGGGGAGGAGGCAAGGGTGGAAGAGCAGGGAGGCGAGAGAGAGAGAGGAGAGAGTGAGAGGAGAAGAGGGGAGAGAGGAGAAACAAGAGAGAGAGAGAGAGAGAAACAGAGAGAGAGAGAGAGGAGAGCGGAGGGGAGAGAGAGAGAGAGAGAGAGCAGAGGAGAGGAGACGAGGAGAGAGAGAGAGAGAGAGAGAGAGGAGAGAGAGAGAGAGAGGAGGAAGGCAAGAGCAGGAGGAGAGGATGGCGGAGCTGGCAGAGGCAGGCGAGCACGAGCAGGGGAGCGAACGCGCGAGGGCGGCGAGGGAGCGCAGCGAGGCACCGACAAGGAGCCTCTGGGGGAGGTGGAACAAATCGGCGGCGGCATCGGGCCGTGCCCCCTCCCTCCTCCCTCCTCCCTCCTCCCTCCCTCCTCCCTCCTCCCTCCTCCCTTCTTCCCTCCTCCTCCTCCTCCTCCTCCCTCCTTCTCCTCTTTCTCCTCCTTCTCGTCCTCCTCCTCCTCCTCCTCCTCCTCCTCCTCCTCCTCCTCTGTCCTCCTCCTCCTCCTCCTCCTCCTCCTCCTCCTCCTCCGCCGCCGCCGCCGCCGCCGCCGCCGCCGCCTCCTCTCCTCCTCCTCCTCCCTCCTCCTCCTCCCTCCTCCTCCTCCTCCTCCTCCTCCTCCTCCTCCTCCTCCTCCTCCTCCTCCTCCTCCTCCTCCTCCTCCTCCTCCTCCTCCTCCTCCTCCTCCTCCTCCTCCTCGCCCCTGCTCCCTGCTCCCTCCTCCCTCCTCCCTCCTCCCTCCTCCTCCTCTCCCTCCTCTCCTCCTCCATGCGTCTGGTCGGCGCATGCGCTTCGGGGTCCTCTCCTCGCGCGGGGCGGCAGAGCTCCTCCCCGAGGGCCCAGTCCACCGTGCAGCCCGCCAGGTAGAGGGCGGGCCACTGCTCCCCCTTGAGGCCCCGGGGCACCGGGACGGGCACCTCACGGGCGTGGGCCACGGGCGGCGTACACACATTCATGGATCTCGCCATCGCTCAGACGTCCATTCCCTGTGTTTTTTCCGGTGTCGTGCGTGGTTTTTCGCCAAATGATCAAGGATGCTCCTCGATGGTCCTCGCCGAGGAAAAATGCACGCGTCCGAGCGATGCCAGGGGATCGGGGATGGGCAGAGCCCGCTTTCGTAAAACGTGGTTTAGTGAAAGACGACCTCAGGCCTAAACCTGGCGGGCGCAAACCTGGAAAATGACGGCCGCGGCGCCCTCTCGAGAACCGGAAACGGACAATTCACTAATCGACGTATGTCAGGGCGGGGGCTCTGTCCATCGCCGAATGGAGGGGTCCTGGGACACACAAATAAGTAGGCGCAACTCCCAGGACTCCCCATATGTCTCCATAGTTTCTAGGTTCTCGTCTCCCCCGCCACACTTCCAATATGTTCCTATATGTTTTCTCAGGAGTCGACGATTCATTGTGTCTGTGTGATGTTTCCCCTACTGAGTTCATCAGGTGACCACATCGACGCGCGGCCACCCCGTCCACGAGTGGCCACGTCCACATCCACGAGCGGCCACCTCCATCCCCCACGATTTCCAAGGGGGGCTGGAGGTTCGTGCCGCTCGGGAGCTCACGAGCAAAGCGAACCCCCTATGCTCCCTCAGACATCGCAGGGGGTGTGGCCTGGGGCTCGCCTCGGGCGGGTGGCACAGGGGGGGTGACCTGCACGGGAGGTGGAGAACATTACCAGCCTCGAACACGTCCCTATCCCTAAGATTGACACGCCAAAAGGCGATGACAATCTTAGGGATTCGCCCTGAAAAACTAAGGGAATCCCTAAGATTGGCATCGTGATGAGGAGGTGCCCAGCATAGGGATAGGGATATGCTCCAGACTGGTAAGAAAAGGGCCCTCAAAGAGGCCCTTTCGGGCCCCTCCTGGAGGCAGCAAGGGCCCGGCGGGAGCCCCGACGTGCACCTTCGGGGCCCTCTTCTCCGCCCCCCCATGTACGTCACCCCCCACTGCAGTCAACCAGTATAGTAAGGAGTAAGGATGCGCGGTGAGGATGCAAGGGCCTTGGAACGCCATGTTGACGTTTTCCGTGAGGAGCGCAGCAGAATGCCGAATACCGAAGGGCCGAAGGGTCGCCATGGCAAGTTGCCCCACCCTTACCATCCTGGCTGACTGTACCACCCGCCCGACGGGGGCGGGCCACGAACGGCCAACACATCCCTGTCCGCACCCGGGCGGTCTGGACCTCGCGGCGCGGACCCGCGGATACGCGCGACCCCACGGGCACGCTCCACGCCAGACGCCCGGACAACGCCGCCCTTGGTGGGCTTCTTTTCCACCACCACCACCATGAGTAGGAGGGGAGGGGGCCCTCCTCCTCCTCCTGGTCCTCCTCCTCCTCCTCCTCCTCCGCCTCTTCGTCCTACTCCTCATCCTGCACCTCCTTCCCCCCCTCCAACTCATGGTGGTGGTGGTGGTGGTGGTGGAAAACAGGCCCATGAACCCTACATACATGGGGGTCGCGGCCGAGGAGACCGGACAGGCGAGGCCGTGGCCGCGGATCCGCTCCCCGCCCGCGAGCGGTGGGGTGGGGGGGGGGGGGGGCGGCGGGCGGGAAGGAGGCCAGGAGTCGCACCCATCGGCCGTCGGTGCGCGGGACGCTCAGGCCCCGCGCCCCCCTGGGGGAGGACGGGCGTGCGCCCCACGCCCGACGGCCACCGCCCAGCGAGGTCTCTGAGATGGCACGTGGGAAAGCTAGCCACGCGAGCTGATTTGCTACACTCCCCTTGATCAACGTTTTCTGTTTCGGCGTTTCTGGGCGGAAGGGGCGGGGGGTTCTGGCTCCGGACCTCTGCTTGGTGCGACTGTGTGCAGCAGTGCGTCCCATGGGTGCGACCCCCACCTGCTGGAAACGGGCGCCCAAAACGGCGCAGATCTGCTCTCTCTATGGGGAGGGGAGCGGGGGTGCGAGGGCCCGCGCCGATCGGCAAAACAGCGAACGAGAAAACGATCACTTTGCTGGCCCACCTCTCGCTGATCCACCCACTGCCGTTTGGCCTGCCGTGCGCCCAAGAGGCCTGGGAGGCCCTGGGGCAGGCGTCCCCCACGGCGGGGTGCCGACTCGGGACTGCCGGCAAGGAAAACACGGAGCCACCGGGCCTGAGTGGCATGCTTCTTTTGCTCGTGGAGCCGCCGTGAAGCAGGCGGAAGATTGGCGGCGAGCGGCGGGGGGAGGTGAGGAGGAGAGGGCCTTCGAGGAAGGCTCGGAAGTCCCCCGGCCTTCCGAGAAGTTCTCTGAGCCTGCCCCGAAGACAGAACAAAAACAACTTATCAGAAGGCGCAAGGGCTTCTGAGAAGTCACGCCGCAGTCTGAGAAGGTCTTCTCCTTCTCATTTCCCCCCCTCGCTCGCCGCTGAAGAGACAAACGCGACGCGATCCTGACCCCGCGTGGGGGTGACAACGAGAAGAGAGCTGGGCTCCGCAAGCGTGACCCCATCGAGCCCCGTCGGGCGTCCCTGGCAAACCCAGGGGGGCCACCGAGTGAGCAGGGGCAGCACAAATACTGCTACGCAGAGCCCCGCCATGGCGGACATGGAGGCCCCCTAGATGGGGTCGGAGTAAATAGGGCCGGAGGATGGCGCCGCATCGCCGATGCATCGCGATGCATCGGCGATGCGCCGGTGATGCATCGTCGACGTCGCCGATGGATCGGCGCCGTCGGCGTGGAGAAAATCGGGTTCCGCATCGAGGAGGAGGAGGAGGAGGAGGAGGAGGAGGAGGAGATGGAAGAAGGGGAGGGGGAGGGGGAGGAGAAGGAGGACGAGGATGAGGACGAGGAGGAGAGGATGAGGAGGAGGACGAGGAGGAGGAGGAGGTGGCATCGTCGATGCATCGGCGATGCGGCGCGATCCCCCGAGGGGGGGGGGGGGGGCGGCGGGCCGCGGGCCGCAGGCCGCGGGCCGCAGAGGCCCGCCGCAGGCGCCGGTATTTTTTTTGTGAATACACTGCGCAGCGCGAGCCCGCCGCAGGCGTCGAGCTTTCAACACGGTACTCCAGATCTGGTAATAAAAGGGAGGGGGTCTGGACCCTCCAAGACAAGCTATTTTTCAACACGGTACTCCAGATCTGGTAATAAAAGGGAGGGGGTCTGGACCCTCCAAGACAAGCTATTTCAGACCCCCCCCCCGTGGGAGAACCCTCCAAAACATCGTCCCCAGACCCCCCCAGGCCCTCCAAGATAGCCTGGAAGAGACCCCCCCCGAAATGAGACCCCCCTCCCTTGATTACGAAATCTGGAGTAGTGTGGATGGGCCGCGAGGTGGGTCGCGGGGTGGGCGTGTCGCAGGGCTGGCCGCGGGCGAGGACGGCAACAAGAACAAGGCCAAGACCAACACCAACAGCAGCACCACCAACAACAACAATCACAACAACACCAACAACATCAACATCAACACCAACTCCACCACCAACACCAGCACCAACGCCAACGCCAACACCAACACCAACACCACCACTACCACCAACAACAAGACCAACACACCAGCACCACCAAAAACAATCATGGTACCCGAATGCTCTTGGATTCTATATGCGGCATGCATTCATCATGATAGCCCCACCTCATGGGAGATCATTTCGTGAACAGAGGAGTCCGATATCTCCTTACCCAAACCCCCCACACACGAGGAGGTCTTGTCAACACCGCTTCCGAGGCACTTCCACATCTGGCGAGGACGAGGAGGAGGAGTAGGAGTAGGAGGAGGACGAGGAGGAGGAGGAGGAGGACGAGGACGAGGACGAGGACGACGACGGCGCCGGCGGGGTCGCAGCCGTGGGCTCTCGGGTCGCCCCTGGCACGCGGAGCGCGCCAAGGAGTGCAGACATCTGACAGTGCACGCTGTATCCTTGAGGATCGGCCGTAGGGACTGGAGAAGCCCCAGGGCCTCTTGGAGCCTTGGGTAAACCGCGAGGAAGTATCGAGCGGGAGCGTCGTTGTTTGCAAGGGGGGCTGCCTGCGGCGCCTAGGGGGGAGCGCCTGTCCTGAGTAAAAAGCAACGAAATATCGAGCGGGCGCTCTGGTTTTGTGGGGAAGCCGGCTTTCGGCGACGAGCAAGGGCGGCAGTCCCGAGTAGAAAAAGAGGGAGTATCGAGCGGGAGCTTCGTTGAATTCTCAATTAAGAAGAACAAGTATTGCTGATCCCTCCTGACCGGTGACCATGTATTTGTTGCACTTAAAAAGTTGTCCCGGGATTCGTAGTTTTCTGTTGTTCACTGCAGCACAACGAAAATTGTACACACTTTTTGTTGACTCTAGATGCCGGCGAAACCCTAGCAAACAGAACCTCGCAGCCAGACGTCCAGGAGGAGGACGGCACACGGAGGAACGGAGGGGCAGGACCCACTAGCACCCCAAAGTGGGGCACAGACTCAGGGCCCCCAAACTTGCTCATGGCCCATGGCTCAGCGGAGCAGGAAAAATAGGACCCAAACTGGCACCGACTGCGGCGGCAAGAGAGGATTACCTTACAGTCGGGCCGGGCGGAATGGGGGGATAGCAAAAAGGGGGTTTGAGAATCAGCTCACGTAGCTGATTTTCCTGGCGCCTCTCGGACCATGCATCGAGGAATGGGCCCCTCGGTGGGGCTGAAAACAACTGCATGCAGCAGATTTCGTATCCCCCCCTTTCCCTATCCCCCCCCCTTCGTCTGGCCCGATGCAGGGTCAACGCCAAAACAATTTAACGGGCCAACATCGGGCCGCAACGAAGTGGCCGGAGCGGCGGGCATGGGGAGGAGGGGGAAGGACGAGGAGGAGGGTCCACCAAACAGCGCGGGGCCATCAAACTGCGCTGTCGGGCCCCGAACTACAACAACAATGGCTCCCGCCTAACAACTTCCTCAGTCTATTCCCAGATCGCGCTCTCGCGCGGGACGTCCTCACAACTTTATAATAGGAGTCGCGCTGTCGTGTGGGGCTTCCTCGTAATTTATATAGACGCCGCGCCCTCGACACTCAGGAACCACGCTCTCGCTTCGGCCTTCCTGGCTAATTATTTGGGAATCGCGCTGCGCTTGAGACTTCCTCGCGACTCATACAGGATGCACGCTTCAGCAACCCGCCTGCTCGACCTGGCCGCCTGGACCCGCCTTCCCGACCCGCCTGTCAGGGTCTACCCGCCAGATCTGCCCGTCTGGTTATGCCACGTGCTGTCTGCTCCTGGTCCCCCTCTTGCTACTCTCTTTCTCGTGCTCCATTTACCAGCCTGGAACATATCCCTGTCCCTATGCTGGGCACCTCCTCATCACGATGCCAATCTTAGGGATTCCCTTACTTTTTGAGGGCGAATCCCTAAGATTGTCATCGCCTTTTGGCGTGTCAATCTTAGGGATAGGGATAAGTTCGAGGCTGGTAATCCATCCTCCTCCCTCCCCCTTGTCCCTTTCTTCCATCCGTCCTTTCTGCCCCTGCCTTAGGGGCTGCACGAAACTGCGCCCAGACGCCGAGCCAATGCAGTGCCTCGGGGAGCAAGCGCCGGACCCTTCGCTCAGGAGCCTCGCGAGGGAGAGCTGCACCCTTACTCGAGGACTGAGGAGGGAGGGGAGGAGGGGAGAGGGGAGGGGAAGGGGGAGGAGGCGTCCAAGAGGGAGGTCCCCAAATTGGCCATCGTTGAGGGCTGCTCGGGCGGACCCACTTTTCGGAATGGCCACGTAATATTCCCCTTCTTGCTTCGCTGCTACTTCTAATGCGAATCAGTTCTGGATGGGCCCGGGGGATTTGCGAAGCATCAATCGATGCAAAGCCTGGGCGGTCGTACACAAGCGTGCGCGATGCTCCCCGTCCGTGTGCTGGGCTTGTGGATGCGTCATGTGCCTGCGCTTGCGCTTGCGCGAACGTGTTGGCCCGCCTCTTTTGAGCACCGTCCCGGCAAGCTGTTTCGAGCCACGTCCGGCCGTGGCGAAGAGAGGCCTCCACAGCGGCAGCTCTCACATGGGTCAAGGTTACACATGACTACCTACCCTGCCACCCCAACCCAACCCGAAGACCCGAATTTAGGGTTTGGGGGGGTACGGGTTCCATATGTGTTTTCTCAATGTTCCTCGACCCCCCCCGCCACTGGAAATGGAGGGCAAATTGAGGCCTTCGGGTTGGGTTGGGGTGGTTTGGAGGATGGTGAACACAGAGACTTGTAAGACCCCACGCTTGCTGGCCTTTCGCCCGCAGCTCGGACCAGAGTGCGCCGCTTGGTACGACTTCCGTGGCCCCGGAGCGCTCTCGACGGGTGGCAGCTGAGGCAACGCGTCCCGGCACTCGGAAACGGACATCACCAATCGCAGTGTCCAAGGAATCCCAGAAACGAGGGAGGAGGAGGAAGAGGAGGAGGGGGAGGAGGAAGAGGAGGAGGATGGGGAGGGAGGAGGAGGAGGCGGGGGAGGAGGGATGAGGAGGCGGAGGGAGGAGGAGAAGGAGGCGGAGGAGGCGGTGGAGAAGAGGAGCAGGCGGAGGCGGAGGAGGAGGAGGAGGGGGCGCGGCAGCACATCCAAGCACGAGCGGCCCCGCTGAGCATCCCGACCCGATCGCATGCCCGCGGGGGGGCACCTGCGCCCCGTTGTGCCACACGGCCACGCCCACAGGGAACAGGCTCTGGTCGTAGGACACGCCGAGCCGCCCCGCCCCGCGGGCGGCCGCGCGTGGGTCTGCCAGACGAGGGCCCCGATTGGCGGCGCGCACTGGGGCAGGGGGAAAGGCTTCCCAGGAGGAGACTCGGGGATCCTCTGACCCGGGTCAATCCAGACCCGGGTCAGCAGGGAACCAAACACTGCAATGCAGGACAAAAAAAAAAACTGCAACGCAGGTCCTCGCAAACCCGGGTCAGCCAATACGCGCGGCCGCCTCGCAGCCACGAGCGGCTCGCTGACCCGGGTCAGCCAGAGGGGGTCGTCGCAGGATCCTGCAGGATCTGGCGCCCTGGCTGACCCCCGTTTGCATTGACCCCCGTCTCGAGGCTCCCGAGAGACTGCTTCTCGGGAGGCGCCGGCCCACACATCTACAGACAAGGCCCGCGCCTTCTGGGCAGGGGCGGCTCTGAGAAGCCTTCCCCCCTCCCCCCTGCCCCCCTCTGCGCGTGGCCCACAGACGACGGCACTGGACCAGAGGAGAAGGGCGTCGCGCGCGACGCTGAGGAGGCCGCCCACCACTCAGGCTTGCGTGCCAAGACGTGAGACGATGCCAAAAACGACGGTGAATTCGGGAGAGGATAAATCGAGAACCTCTGAGATCCGGCGGCTCTGGAGGATGTCTCGGGCGCCGCGGTCTTCTCAGAGCGTTCCGGCACGCTCTGAGAGCGCTCCGGAACGCTCTGGAAGGATTTGTCCTCGTCCCAGCCCCGTCCGAAGACGCGCGCAGGAGGACTTTCCCTCGCGACAGAGGCTTTTCTGTCTGGGGCCCTCCCTGCCGTCGGCAGGCGGCAGGGCGGGGTGACGGCACCGTCGTGCAACGACGTCGTGCTTGTGCATCGTGAAGGAAATTCGAATCTCTCGGGACGCGATAAGACATTAGTTTGAAAATCACAGCAAAACAATCGGATCACAATGGCAACCGATAAACCACTGGCCTCCACCGGACTCATCACACCACGTCCTTGCTGGCGTTTGTACCTCTCCAAAAAAACCCAGTACGTTTGCATATGTAAGTGCACTTCGACTGCATGCAAGTGTCTGTGCGCGGTTGGCTTCGCGCACGCGCTCTCCCCACCCCCTTCTATCCTTTGCGGGGATATGTTCACCCAGTTACCCACCCTTGCCCCTCCCTGGAGGAATGGACCGTGGCTCCCCTCCCCAGGATTATCGCGGCGCGGCCAGGAGCAGAGGCCTTGGGCGAAAACACGCGGGCTTCGGCCTGCTTCCTCCCAGGATGCAGGATCTGGCCATCGCTCGGACGTCCCTTCCCTGTGTTTTGTTCGGTTTCGTGCGTGTTTTTTTCGCCAAATGATCAAGGATGCTCCTCGCGGGTCCTCGCCGAAGGAAAAATGCACACGTCCGAGCGATGCCAAGGGATGAGATAGCAAGCGGCGGAGTGTGCGGCAGCAGGCGCATGACGTCGCCCGGCCGCAGAGCCGCCGCGCCGCCCGCGCCGAACTGCACGCCGTAGCTGCGGGAGTTGGACCCCAGCTCCTCCCGCGGCACGTTCGCGCAAGCGCAAGCGCAGGCACATGACGCATCCACAAGCCCAGCACACGGACGGGGAGCATCGCGCACGTTTGTGTACGACCGCCTAAGCTTTGCATCGATTGATGCTTCGCAAATCCCCCGGGCCCATCCAGAACTGATTCGCATTAGAAGTAGCAGCGAAGCAAGAAGGGGAATCTTACGTGGCCATTCCGAAAAGTGGGTCCGCCCGAGCAGCCCTCAACGATGGCCAATTTGGGGACCTCCCTCTTGGACGCCTCCTCCCCTTTCCCCTCCCCTCTCCCCTCTCCCCTCCTCCCCTCCCTCCTCACTCCTCGAGTAAGGGCGCAGCTCTTCCTCGCGAGGCTCCTGAGCGAAGGGTCCGGCGCTTGCTCCCCGAGGCACTGCATTGGCTCGGCGTCTGAGCGCAGTTTCGTGCAGCCCCTAAGGCAGGGGCAGAAAGGACGGATGGAAGAAAGGGACAAGGGGGAGGGAGGAGGATGAATTACCAGCCTCGAACGTATCCCTATCCCTAAGATTGGCACGCCAAAAGGCGATGACAATCTTGGGGATTCGCCCTCAAAAAAGAAGGGAATCCCTAAGATTGGCATCGTGATGAGGAGGTGCCCAGCATAGGGACAGGGATATGTTCCAGGCTGGTAAGAGGAAGAGCACAGGGGAGGAAGGAGGAGGACGGAGGGGAGGAGGGCAGGCCAGCAGGACCGCACGTCCTCTCGGACGCCTGCGACAGGCCTGGCCCCTCGGAGGCCAGAGTAAGCTCAGGCAGACATGGAAGATGGTACAGTCGGGGCGTTGACCTAAGGAACCCTGAATAAGGAACGAGGCCCGTTTTTTTTCGATGGGTTAAACTTCGATTTCCCGTCGAAAACATAAGGAAAACCTAAGGCAAGCTGTGAAACACTTAAAGCACACGGAGCCCCTCCCCAACGAAAAGGGTTCCTTCTTCAGCGACCCGACTGTAGGGTGAGATATCTCCGGGTCGGAAGTTGCCGTCGTGACGTGCACTCTCTCGTTCTACGGTACTGCCAGAGCATGGGGTGTACATCATCGTGCTGATGCTCAATCCCAGCTGTAAACTGTAATCATGCCGATACGGATGGCTGACATTCCTAATTGATGCTATACGGTTGCAAGCGAGCCGTGCGGCCAACCAATGCACCACAGTCAGCTTGGGCGAGATTGAACCACTTTGCATTGAGCCCCCCCTTCTGAAGATCAGCATACAGCGTCGCATCGAGTACGGACCATCGGAAAGGGAAGGCGACGTACAAATGGGTTCGCACCACACATATTAATACAGAGCTTGTGACGCAGGCCGAATGCACGAACACTCGCAATTCATCAAGCAACATGGTAAATATTGCCTTGCCCGCGCAATACCCAACTGATCGGCGAACGCTGAGATCAATATCCGCGAGGTTGGGCTTTGTATGGGCCACTCTATTGATGACATGTGGCAATGCTCTCACGTAGCATCGTCTCTATCAGGGAGGCGTCGTGACCGAAACTGTCCCCGCACATCTGCCCGAGTGTGACCGAGACTGGCGCCCGAAATTTCCCGACCGCGCCCGAGAGAGACCGAAACATTTGGTCCGAAACCAAGACGAGCTACAAGTTCGACAAACAGTTCGGCCACTCTACGTGTTTGGTCACAACTTGGGGCACGTATTCGGTCACCGATGTTTGTTCGGTCACCTACCATTTCGGCTGCTAGGGTGGGGCCGTGACAACTCTGGCGAATTCGCGTCACGCATGACTGCAGAACCACCCGTGCGCTGTGAGACCTTCCACAAGGCTCTCAGACCTGTTGGGGGCAAGCACATGCAAGCAATAATTGAATGGCTGATAGCCTAGATTCAACACTTGGTGCAAGAACGATCAATGGCGAATGAATACGCGCTGCGAGCGATAGGCAGACGGCGCTGCAAACTCTACGATTGACCAACATATGACAATTGCCCATCAAATGCGAACAGGATGACGAATCTGATGCCGCGACGTGAGGACGCGGGGTGAGATGATACGAGGTCAACGGTGATGGGCAGCACAACGAAGACGAGGCCGAGGATGATGTTGATGGACAAGGACGGCGGAGATGATGAGGCAGAGAGCGGAAGGGACGAGCACGAGGAGAAAGAGGCGGGAAGTGAGGAGGAAGAGGGTAGGGGGGAGGAACGAATGGTGGAGAAGGAACAGGAACCCAAGTAGTGGAAGGAGGGGAACCGAAAGGATGGATACGTAGGCGGAGGAGGGCGGGAGGGGGTGTCAAGAAGGAAAGAGGGGGCAGGAGGAGTGAACGCGGGGAGTGAAGACGAGGCAGGAGGAGGGAACGAGGATGGAGGGGAAGGAAGGAGGAGAGAGAGAGGGAGGAAAGGATGGATGATTGAGGATGAAGGCCTCCGACTGCAGGAACGGCTGGAGGAGGTAGTGGAACGAAACATGACACAAACATCAACCTTCGGAAGTCCGCGCGGATTGCTCGGATCGGCGCAGGAGGCGCCGCCAGGGGGGGCCCACGCCAATCCAAGAAGTCCGCGCGGAGCCGAAAGTTTCTGGTCAGACCATTCTCTGCGCCCCGGAGAGGACGGGGCCCGAAGGATCGCGCCGCGTGGCCGACGCATCGGCGACGTCGGCGATGCCTCGGCGACGCCGGCACGGAAGACATCGGAGTCCACGTCGCGCCGCACCGCGGAGGCAGCGGCGAGCTGGTGCGATCATCTTGCCCCATCTTTAGGTCGGGTATGTCCCCCAAAAGGCAGATTTTGGTGGACAAATGAACAATAGCACCCCCCCAAAAATGGCACCAAATCAAAGACAAAGTAAATCGTCACTACCTCGTGTTTTGACGTGTGTTGTATATTCCTCCTACAGAGTGACATGCCCGACATAATACCATTTATAGGGTTTTGCTGCTCTCATCGTACTCAAGGGATTCATCCCAGAAGTAATCACGAGGACCCAGAACAGTATCGAGACGGTGTCGAACGAGTATCGCCCCCCGGGGCCCGACACTTGAAAACCCTCGGGTTTCGGTACTTCCTTGATGATCGAAACTATTTCTGGTGATCAAGGCCAAAGCAGGTTGAAACATCAGAACTACAGGGCGACGACATCTATGCATCCAACGGCTTTGGACGCCCGAAATGGGTATGGAAAGAATGGGTACAATGCCCAACCACAAAAGTTGTCCCAAACCAACAGCGGCCGCTGTTGGGCAAGCGGCCTCCCGTCTCAAATGGACACAGGCCGCGGCGGCGCGGACAGCGAGTCCTGCTCAAAATGAACAGGAACTGCTGTTGGGCACTGTACCCATTCTCTCCGTACCCATTCCGTTCGTGCCGAATCAGAACTACAAGGCGACGAAATCTATGCATCGCCGCTGCTCCCCGGCCAGGCCCATGCCGCACCCAGCGGCGGTGCACACTCCACGCACGCCTGGCCTGGTCGGGAGGGGGCGTATGCACGGTCCCCTTCCGCAGGGGCGCGCGCGCGGCTCGGCGGGGCGGGCGGCGGACTGCGAGCGCCAGGCGCGGAGGAGAGCTCGGAGGAGGAGGCCCAGGAGGGAGGTGGGAGGAGGGAGAAGGAGGAGGAGGAGGAGGAGGAGGACGAGGGAGGAGGACGAGGGAGGAGAAGAAGAGGGAGGAGGAAGAAGAGGAGGAGGGAGGAGGAGGAGGTGGAGGGAGAGGAGGGAGGAGGGAGGAGGAGGAGAGAGAAGGAGGGAGGCCAAAGGGGGAGGCGACGCGGCTGGCGAGGCCAGGCCCACGTCCCGCGGTCCTCGCCCAGCTGGTCCGAGCGCGGGGGCAGCTCGGCGCTGACGCCTGGCGGCCGCCCTCGCTCCGCCCCCAGCCGTCGTGGCTGGCGCGGCCCCCCCGTCGTGCCGCCTCCTGCTCCCGCCCTCCTCCCCTCCTCCTCCTCCCTCACCCTCCCTCCTCCGTCCTCCTCCTCCCTCCTCCCTCCTCCTCCCTCCATCCCTTCCTCCCTCCCCCCCTCCATCCCCCCTTCCATCCCTCCTCCTTCTCCTTCTCCCATTCCTCCTCCTCCTCCTCCTCCTTATCCTATTCCTCCTCCTCCTCCTCCTCCTCCTCCTCCCTACATCTTCCCTCCTCCTCCATCTGTTCCCCCCTCCTCCTCCTCCTCCTCCTCCTCCTCCTCCTCCTCCTCCTCCTCCTCCTCCTCCTCCTCCTCCTCCTCCTCCTCCCAATCATCCTCATGTCTCTCCTTGCCCTCTTCGAGGATCGAGGAGGGATTTCTGATGCCTCCGGACGGTTCTGTTCGGACGGTTATTGCACGCTCTCTGGGCCCTGCTCGGGCCTCCGGGGGACCTCCGGGGACCTCCGGGGGTCAGGATCTGGGGCCGGAGCGAAAGTGATCCTTCCTCTTTTGCCTTCTCCTCCTCCTCCTCCTCCTCCTCCTCCTCCTCCTCCTCTCCTCCTCCTTCTCCTCCTCCTCCCCCTCCCCCTCCCTCCCCCTCCTCCTCCCCTCCTCCTCCTCCTCCTCCTCCTCCTCCTCCTCCTCCTCCTCCTCCTCCTCCTCCTCCTCCCCCTCTCCCCCTCCTCCCCCTCCCCCCCCCCCCCCCCCCGTCCACCTCCCATACTACTCCCTGTATCTTCCCACTGCCTCCTCCTCCTCCTCCCGCCCAAGGTCCCCGCGTCCATCCCCCGGGTGGAGAGCACCTGAGACGGATCATTCCGGAGTTGTTTCTCACGAGCGTCGCCACCATGGGTTGCATGAGGTGGACAAGAGGTACACTCGCGAGGTGGAAAAAACCCTCGTCTCCTGCCGCCCGCCACCGCTACTGTTGGCAGATGTTGCCTGACTTGTCAAGGGTCAGCGCGAACAGCAAGCGAAGGCTCCCAGCTCAGCCACTGGTCTGGACTCCCTCGCACTGGTGCCATGCCGCTCGTCTGGCGGCCTGCTCGGGGTGGGACTCTCTCGTCGTTTGCTCCCCCCCGCGCCTCTGCTCGACGCGAGGTTTTCTCGTTGTGTAATGATGCATTCGAATTGGCCATACGAGGTCGGCAGCCGAATGTGAAGACTGCGCGAGTCGGATCTCGACTAGCCTTAGCATGCGTTGTCGAGGTTGATGCGAACTCCTGTGTCCTGGTACGGACATCCAGAAGCCGCTCCAGCCGGTGCGCCGAAGTCTCCACCTCAATCGAACGTACCATTTGCACGTGGTATTTGCACGCAGTCCTAGAACACCACCGTATACAACTGCTTTCAGATGTGCCAACTTAGCGGGCAAACTTCGAGACCTTCCACAGTTTTCGAACCCGTGCCTCCAGCCCGGGTGGGGACTCCCTATCCTGCAAGGGGTCGGACATCCTCATGGTCGTCGATGGTGGCCTTCCCTTGACTGCCATCTTGCCCTGCATAATGCAGGACTCTCTCATTCTCGCACATAGCCTGGCTGCGCTTTCAGCTTCCTGATATCTAACCCTGAAGTGCACGAGTTCACTGCAGCAGCGCGTTACACACTGCCTCGCGACCGAGGAATCGTAGGCTCGTCTTCCCTCCCAAAAGGTTAATCATTTCCAGTACTCCTTTCGCCACCTGTCAAACACGCCCAAAGGCGCGGGCCCGTTCTGTGTTACTCCTTCAGGGGCCCACAGCCCGAAGTCCATGGCGCTCTTGGGCGCTCCTGGGTTTTCGCGTCACTTTTTCCAGAGGCCTGGAGCGCGTTGTTCGGGACATGCATGTCCAACATGGCCTAGAATTGCTTCGAGGACCGTTCTGGAGTCCTCTTGGGCGCCTCCTGGGCAGTCTTGGAGGCCCTGGACAATGGCCCAAGATGCTTAAGCCGTCAACAATAGCATATTCTTGTATGGTTTTGGCATTACCGCCTTTTTAGTCTTCAGAGCGTCCAAGACGGCCCAAGAGGCGTCCACAGTCGCCTAAAAACGGTCCAAGAGCCCCCAAGAAGGGCCCAAGTGGCGAGGCACGCAAGACAGCCTCAAGAGGGGGAACACGAACTGACTTTTTCAGCCCTCCGCCCACCGTATCCGAGAGGCTTCCGAGAGGTCTCCCAACAGATCCACACAGGCATCCAAGGGGCCTCTGACCGACAAGCCAAGCACGGTGGCGAGATGGGCAGAAGGCCACTATAGATATGAGAGATTGCGCCACCAGGGCTGTTACTGCAGTTCTACCCGAAGCCATGACCATGTTGGCTCCCTCAACTCGTATTACATCAAATGCCGTCTCCCTCAAGTGTCCAATTTGAACATCTGCACATACTGACACTCCGTTCTGATCGGTACTCCGTGTTCTCAGGGGCCGCAGACCCTGAGCAGAAAGGACGTGCGCCTGCTCCCGCATAGGATGCCCCTCCGCGGGATAGGAGCAGATGCTTGGCTACAGCCGCCTCACTTCATCAGCATTACCCTCCCTTCAGGTCTTCAATAGTCCCACGGGAAAGCGCCCATTTATCGAGGAAGGCGCCCGGCGGCGGGGCCGAAACCAGCTGCACGCGGCTAATTTCGCACATCCCCAACTTCCCTGTCCTACCCTTCCCTCCCTGCACTGCTCATTTATGCTCGCCACACGCCGCCCGTGTGGCTCCACGGAGGACCTCTCCGCGCGGCATGCTTCGGACGCCGTCTCCGCCGCCCTTCCTCGAGGTTGGGCCCTTGGGCCCTGCCGGCGCAGCTCCTCCTCCTCCTCCTCCTCCACCTCCTCCTGCTCCTCCTCCTCCTCCACCTCCTCCTCCTCCTCTTCCTCTTCCTCTTCCTCTTCCTCTTCCTCTTCCTCTTCCTCCTCCACCCCTCCTCCTCCTCCTCCTCCTCCTCCTCCTCTCGCCTCCTCCTCCTCCTCCTCCTGCTCCTCTCCTGCTCCGGCTCCTGCTCCTGCTCTGCTCCTGCTCCTGCTCCTGCTCCTGCTCCTGCTCCTGCTCCTGCTCCTCCTCCTCCTCCTCCTCCTCCTCCTCCTCCTCCTCCTGCTCCTCCCCCTCCCCCTCCCTCCGTAGCCATTTTGGCTCAAGCCGTGTTCCCCGCTTTCTCCGCGGCCTTTTCGCCCACGGTCGGCGGCTCGGTGGCGGCGGCGGCGGGCGCGCCTTGGATGGCTGCGGGGGGCTGCCCGCTGATGTGGCGGCCCAGTGTGATCAGGATCATGGAGACGGACTCCCTCGGCGCTTCCGCGGCGAGGCGTGCTGCTCGGCGGCGCGGTCGCGCGGCTCTTGAAGCAGCACTGCGGCCGCTGGTTGCGGCACGGGGCGCCCCGGGCTCGTGGGTGGATCGCGAGCGTGCGTCGAGGCCGGCTTTGCAGAAGATTGCAGCAGGGGATCGTGTACCTGGTGTGATGCGGCTCAGGCGGAACGCTGCCTGGCATGCGCGCCGCGTGCCGCCTGGCGGGTTCACGGCGGCGTCCTCGGCGGCGCTGTCCTGGGCTGCGGTTGGTCCCCGTCTGGGGCACGCGGCGAGTGGCATGCGGGCTGAGGCCATGCCGTTCATGCCGCGGGCGGCCTGCCGTGTGGTGGGCGTGCGCTGCAACTGCGGTACCACGGTGTTCGCGCCGAGCCCGCCCCCTGCTGTGCAGATGCCGCGCGAGACGGAGTCCGACGAAGGCACCGTGCAGTGCGAGAGCGGGGACGTGGACTCGGAGTTGGCTGGGCGGCGCATGGCTCATCCTGTGCTGGGGGAGGCGAGCGTCGACGAGGCTGCCGTGGAGTTCGCGGAGCCGCAGGTCTCGCAGGCGCCGATGCCAGGCGCAGAGGTGACTGACTCTATGATCAGCGGGAGCGAGAGCGTGGACGTGGACTCGGAGGTGGCTGCTCGTTGCGTGGCTCATCCTGAGCCGTCGCGGAGCTCTGGCGCGGCGGTGGCGTGCAGCTACCCTTGCGATGCACGGCGTATGAAGTCGGCCGAGGGTGCGGTGCTGGATGCCTCCTACGCGGCGCAGGGGGAGGCGCGCGGCGGCGCTGTCGCCGAGGAGTTCATGGACGCGCAGGTCTCGCTGGCGCCGTGTGCAGGCGCTACGCTGGGCGACGGCGTCTCGGAGGCTGTCGCGGTGCCGAAGAGGAAGGCTCGCTGTCGGGAGCTGCTGGAGAAGGCCGAGCGGGACGGCACTTCCCCCTTCTCTCCCGAGGTCATGGCCCAGCTTCTCGGCCGCAGGTGACGCTGCTCTACTTCGGCGTCTCCGAGGGCCTCGTCACGGTCGGGGGGTCCAGGGCTGGTCTGGTCCAGCCTGGGCCCCCCGCGGGCGCACGAGGGTGCACTTCCCAGCCATTCCAGCCATTCCATTCCTCCTTCTCCTCCTCCTCCTTCCTCCTCCTCCTCCTCCTCCGCCCTCCTCCGTCCTCCTCCTCCTCCTCCTCCTTCTCCCCTCCTCCCCCTCTCCTCCTCCCCCTCCCTCCCCCCATCCCACCCTCCTCCTCCCCCTCCTCCTCCTCCCCCCTCCCGCTTTTCATCCCACTCCCCCTCCCCCTCCTCCTCCTCCGCCTCCATCCTCCTCCTCCTCCGCCACTTCCCCCTCCCTCCTCCTCCCCTCCTCCTCCTCCTCCTCCACCTCCTCCTCCTCCTCCTCCTCCTCCCCTCCTCCTCTCCCTCCCCCCCCCCTTCTCCTCCTCCTCCTCCTACTCCTCCTCCGCCTCCCCCGTTCTCCTCGTCCCCTCTCGAACCCCCCCTCCTCCTCCTCCTTCTCCTCCTTCCTCCTCCTCCTCCTCCTCCTCCCTCCCTCCTCCTCCCTCCTCCCCGTTCCTCCTCCTCCCCCCTCCCTCCCCCCATCCCCTCCTCCCCCTCCTCGAACTCGTCTGACACGGTAGGCTTTCCATCACCCCTCCCCTCCCCCTCCTCCTCCTCCTCCGTTTTCTCCTCCTCCTAACCGCCTCCTCCGCCTCCTCCTCCTCTCCTCCTCCTCCTCCTCCTCCTCCTCCTCCTCCTCCCCTTCCGTTCCTCTCCTCCTCCTCCTCCTCCTCCCGCCTCCTCCCTCCTCCCCTCCCTCCTCCTCCTCCTCCTCAACCTCCTCCTCCTCCTCCCCCTCCTCTTCTCCTCCTCCTCCTCCTCCTCCTCCTCCTCCTCTTCCCTCTCCTGCCTGTCTATGGCCGTGGTGGTGGTGGTGGAAAATCGGCCCTTAGAGGCCGTGGCCGAGTGGCGCGCCTCTTTTGGCGAGGGGCGCCCGCTGGAGCACGTGTGCCGGAGGCCCTCGCCGCTCATGGGGCTGGGGCCCGCCCCCGGGCCGCTGGAGGGCGAGCGCGGCGGCGGCAGCGCGGGGCCAGGCGGGCAGGGGCCGGGCCGCCCCGGGGAACGCGGTGCTCGGAGGAGTCAAGCCGTGGCGAAGAACCCTTCCCAGACCTCCTCGCGTCGTGAACGAAAAAATCCACGGCGGAGGTGTTGGGCCATCTTCGGCCAGACCTTCTCGCGTCGTGAACAAAATCGCGACGGGAGTTGTTTTTCGCTGTGTCCGGCGTCCTGGGGCCCTCCGCGGGCCCCGGGACCGTCCAAACACGACTCAGGATGAAAAGCCGCTCCCGGGGACGGGGTCCAGAGCTCTGGGGGATCGACGTTTCGAAAAAACACGCGGGGCCGTCGTGTTGCAAATGTATTGCGCCAGAGAAGCGTATTGCATTGCATCGCAACTGCTGTACTGCACGCGCAAATCCAGCAATGCATCTTCGCCCGGAAATGTATAGCACAACCAAAATCGATTGCAACCAAGCAAATTTACCGCACCAGATCTATTGTACCACCTTGCTGGACCCCTTTTTGGGCCAACCATGGAGGAGTCAAGCAGTTGCGAAGAACCCTTTGTGGTTTGCACGGAAGGTTTTTAGAACCCTTCCTGCTCAGACTGTTTTGTCTTAGCGCATCGGGCTTGCGTTCTAAGAACACTGTTCTGGTTCTCAGAACATTGCTTGATTCCAAGAGCATGCCGTGGTAGGCGGATAAGAAGTGCCTGGACGGTCGGTCCATGCTCAGATCGGGGCTCAAGAGACGGGGGTCAATGCAAACCGGGGTCAGCCAGGGCACCGGATCGTGCAGGATCCTGCGAAAACCCCTTCTGTGGCTGACCCGGGTTAGCGAGCCGCTCGTGGCCGCGAGGCGGCCGCGCCTATTGGCTGACCCGGGTTTGCGAAGACCTGCGTTGCCGTGCAGTTTGGCTGACCTGGGTTTGCGAAGACCTGCGTGGCAGTTTTTTTTGTGTGTGTTTTTCTCTCCTTTCTCCTGCATTGCAGGTTTTGGTTTGCTGCTGACCCGGGTCGGGATTGACCCGGGACAGAAGGTCCCCTGCTCAGACGCGGGGCGGGCTGAGGCGGCGGTGTGGTTGGCCTTCGGGGGGCCCCCTCGTCGCCACGGCTGGGCCCGCTCGGAGAGTTGGTGCGCCTGGGCGCCGGGAGAGGTTCAGGGACGGATTCTTCATCGAAGATACAAGAACCCCTAACCTTATGTCGGGCGTGTCCCCCTACAGGGGGATTCATGGCGAGAAATTAAAGATACCCCAACAATATGCCAAAAAGGCCAAACAATATCTAAACAATAGTCCCCAGACTATTTTTGGACCATTTTTGATTATTTATGGTGTATATTTCATTTTTCGTCGAAAATCCCCCTTTAGGGGGACAGGCTCGACTTAACCCTAGCCCTAATAACAGAGTGAAGACGTGGCCTCTCCGAGGGCCCCGTCCTTGCATTAGGGACACTCTAGTTCTGGGCGGTGTGGTCGCATAGAAGACTCCCTATCCCGAATGTTCTTGGCCCTCCCAACTTAGGTCCCCTCCCACAGGGTCGGGGGTCCTTCTCGGGTCCATCCATTCTGAGCTGCCGTTGCCTCCGCTCGCCGTGCCTCGAGGTGCGGGGAACGTCGCGTTCGGGCTGGTCTTCGTGCCGTCGCGGTGGGCCGTGGACCTGCACGACGTGGTGGCGGAGGTCCAGCGGGAGCTCGGGTGGCCCCGAGGCGCGCCGCTGCTGGGGGTGCTCGACCAAACAACAAACGGCACCACCCCACCTACGGCATTCCGTCGGGGGCCGCAGCGTATCCCACGAAAAAGCCCTACGCAAGATGCCCTGGAATACGCTGAGCCCCGTGGGGCCGCAGGTGGGGCGGTGACGTTTGTTTTCTGGTCCAGGTGCTGACCAGCGGCGGGACGCTGTGCGTGGGCGCGGGCATGCAGGACGTTGGGCAGCCCCCCGCGCAGGCCGTCCTCGTCGACGAGGCCTTCCTGGAGGAGGTCAGCCGGGAGAGCATGCGCGTGCAGGACACGATCGACCGGGAGCCTCTGCGGAGCATCCAGGTGTACGGCGGCAAGCTCCGCGGCTCCGTGCTCGCGGGCCGCGCCCTGCTCGGCCGCGAGGCCACCGACGTCGGCTCGGGCCTGGTCTTCGGGGAGAGCGGCTCTGGGCTCGGCCTGACGAGGCGCGCGATGGCCCTGCTCGACGCCTGCTACCCGGAGGCGGGCAAGGCGGGCCTGCTGTCGGCCTTCCCGGAGGCGGGGGGCTCGACGGGAGCCGTGTGTCTGGCCGGGGTTGGCGACGGGTCCCCGCGCTACGGGCGCTGCGCCGTGCTGTTGCTGGCGGGCGGCCTGGGCACGGCGATCAACCTGTGCGGCGTGGCCCCCATCGGGCCCGAGCTTGAGGTGTTCGACGCGGACGTGCAACGAGGCATCATCCGCACCGTCGGCGACCTGCCCCGCGGTGCGGCCGCCGTGGCCGCGCGCCCCGACGGGCGGCGGCCGTCGGTGCCGGCCGCGACGGCGCTGCGGCGCGTGGTGCTGGAGCACGGCGTGTCCGAGTCGCAGGTGTGGGTCGGCCTTCCGCGCGGCTCCACCCGCGACAGCGCGCAGCTGCGGGTCGCGCCGGGCGCGGGGGACTGGGCCCTGTTCCCCTGGGGAGTCGTGTCGGCCGAGGGCAGCCTGCTGCTGCAGGGCGGGAGCCCGCGGCTCGAGGGGGTCTGCAGCAAGGGCATCGACAGGGTCCAGCTGTTCGTGGCGAAGGCCGACGAGGCCGCCCTGGGCCGACTGGCCGACGCCTACTCCCTCAAGCAGCTGTTCGCCGCGCAGGACACCGAGGCGGCCGCGGACCGGGCGCCCTTTGCGACGCTGTGCCTCCTGGGCGGGAGCGGGCCCTCCTCCAGCGTCCGGGACGAGCGGCTGTACGACGGCGTCGTCGCCGGCGAGGTGGTCCTGGGCTGCGCCGGGGCTTCGATCCCCTTTGGGGACGACCAGGCCAGTGACGTGGCGATGCGCCTGCACCGCCAGGCTGCGGGCATGGTCATGCTGTACAGCTCGCCGCCGCCAGCGCCGCTTCAGCCCAGCGCGCCGTGCACGGGCGCGCGGGCCTGATGGGCAGACAGGGCGTCGAGCCGCTCCAGCTCACTCGCCTTGGCGTCGCCTCTTGGCGCATGGCCTGCTGTCGCTCTCGCCAGCTCCGCCCTGCGAATGTGCCGCGTGCGGCTCGGTCCTCTCTGAGCAGCTGGGCCGTGAGGTGCTCCACGCCCGTACAACTCTGTGCGCAGCTGTGGGGGGTGGGGATGTCGTGCCTTGCTTTCCATGGCCCGCGCGCCCTTGTGGCTCTTCGTGTGCCTCCCTTGTGGTGGTCGACGATCCTCATGACGTGTGTTTCCCAATACGTATGTGTGTGTGTGTGTGTGCCACAGTCGACCCGCATAGGAAGGATGGGCAGCCTTCCCAAGGGTGCCCTTGCATCCTTACCTCCTCGGCCCATCCTTGGCCACTTTCGTTGGCCGCGCCCCGCTCGAAAAGCTTCGAAGTGGGCGTCCAAGGCCCATGTATCCTTATCGCGCATCCTTGTTGTATGGGCCGACTGTACATACGTTCGGTGGTAGTTATCCAAATCAGCGCAACTCGCTAACGCCCTCGCCGAGTTGGATCAGCCAGGCGCGAGGTGAAAAGTGGGTGTTGCCCTGTTCAGCTCCACTGTCGACGATCTCGAAACCTTCTCCGCTACCGAAGTGCGCCCCCATTCAGTCGCGACCGTCATCCGGCGCGCCCGATATCCATTACCGACATTTCTGGTCGCGGATGATTTGGGTTTCGGGCCCTGGGGCCATTACAGAGATCCGGCTCGAACAACGGCGCAGAAGGATGGAGTCTAGGGCTCTGGTTGTGAATTTTCGGATGCAATTCCTGGGAGATCAAATTCTGACTTTATCCGGCTTCATCCGGCTTCATCCGGCTTGATCCGGGTTAATCTGGCTAAATCCGGTTGAATCACGTCTATTCCGTGGCCGAATCCGGCGTAGCAGCGCCCCGATGGGGCTTAATCCTCCCCGATCCTTCCGACGAAGACCTTGTTTCCAGAGTTTTTCGCACCGCAGTCGGACCGAGTCTCCACGCCGAGCACCCCGTCTGCACAGTCGATCTGGGAGAGCGTGCCTTGGCATCGTTCGGACGTGTACATCTTTCTTTGGCGGGGACCACTGAGGAGCAGCCTGGATCATTCGGCGTCACCCTACCATACTAGTGCTACGTGTGCGTCGCCCGTCCCCAGGGGCGACGCGCGCACCGAGAAATCTTACGGTGCATGCGTCGTGGCGGGCGCTTTTTGGCCACACCGCTCGGGGAACCATATATTACAAGATGAGTATACTATATCTTGTCGGGTCGGGCGCGCGCCTCCAAGGAGGACATGTAATTTGTGTTCGTATGTCTCTGTGCGCCCCAATCATCCTGCACCAAAAATGCCTCCTCATGAACTCTGGCGGTGTTGCATGTTTTTCGCAGTGTCGGATCTCAGGGAAGGGGGGTGGAAGCGGCGCCAGAGGTCGGCAGAGCCGCGCGGCCCGTCGCCGTGGCCCCGCAGAGCCGGGGAGCCACGGGCTTCGGTGGCTTTTGCGTGCGGCTGCGTGGCCACCCAGGCCGTCCGTAGTTCAGCGACTGTGTGCAAGAGCTGAAGTTTTTCACTCGAACACATAACCCCAGAGATCCAACGTATTGAAACATCGTCCCCGAGGTTGTTCGCAGTTTTCGGACTCTCGAGGACATCGCTGGGCCCCAGGACCATCAAAAAACGACTCAGGATGAAAAACCAGTCCCAGATAGTGGATCGAGACTTCCAGGGACCCCGTATTGCAAAAATCACGACATCGGATCTCCGGGACGCGCGTTATGTGGCCTCCAACCCACCCACCCACCCACTCAGTAGCTAACATACATGACGCTCTCCACTTCACCCGTTGTAGCAGCGCCTGTTGTTTAGCGCACAGGTACGCTGTTCGTAGTGTGCCAGCGAACCCACCCACCCACCCAGCCACATAGCGCGCGTCATGCGGTTGCAAAAAGACTTGAGCTCCAAGCAACGTTTAAATCACTATGGCAAGCCGCAGTTGACCAGAGTGCAGCAAGGCCTGCCCCCCCCGGTACCTCAAGGCTTGCCAAGAGACAGGTGGCCCAGAAGAAGGTCCCGCGATGAGCCGTTCATCTCTGCCTGTGGCTGGGAGGAACAGAGGGTAGCTTCGGTGGCCGATAGCTCCCCTCCTGTGGGCGGCGCGCCAACAGGTCGGGGAAACGTGAGAGTCGAGCTCGCAGGAGCTCGGGCTGCCGACGCTCTCTTACGGGCCCGTCCTGAGCTTTGGCGGTGCAGTTTTCGTGGAATTGTTCGCAGCGGGAGCTCACGTCGAATCTCAGGCTGGGTCTCGACGGCCCAGTCAGGCCGGCCCGAGTCTTCAGACCCAAGTCATTCTAGTGGAAACCCGTGCCAAGACACCCTGCTTGCCTCCAGGGTGTCCTGAGTTTCCTGCGTTTCGATGGTTCTGCTATGGACAGCGTGACGTTCCCACGCCAAAACTCTATGGACGTCCTGGGGTCTCAGGGTTGGGTTCGTTGTGGAAGGTTTCTTGTGGTCGAGCTCCTACTGTAAACATAGTTTCTCGGAGGTCCGCGCGGATTTCTTGGATCCGCGCTGGGCTCCCCTGGCGGCGCCTCCGGCTCCGCCACTGGCGCGCTCCACGCATGCGAATGACCTTTCACTTGGTTCACGCAGCGTGGACCTCTGTGCGTGACTCTTGGGCGTACGTGCGCAAGCGCGTACCTCTGGCCGTTGGCGCGCTTGTCTGTGGCGTGTCGCTCTGCCCCTGGTCGCCTCTCCTCCTCCTCCTCCTCCTCCTCCTCCTCCTCCTCCTCCTCCTCCTCTGCACCTCTCTTCCTTCACCTCCCTTCTCCTTCTCCCCTCTCCCTCTTCCTCCTCCCTCCTCCTCCTCCTCTCCTCCTCCTCCTCCTCCTCCTCCTCTCCTCTCCACATCCTCCTCCCTCACCCTCTCTCCTCTCCCCTCCTCCTCCTCCTCCTCCTCCTCCTCCTCCTCCTCGTCGTCCTTCTCCTCCCTCCTCCCTCCTCCGACTCCCTCCTCCCTTCTCCCTCCTGCCTCTCCTCCTCTTCCTTCTCCTCCTTATCTTTCTCCTCCTCCTCTTTCGTATTCTAGTCGCCGTCGGCACTCGAGACCAAATAACGAATCATTAAGGAAGTGCACCGAACATGCCTTCACAAGACTTCTGCCCTACTGGTCTCACAGGGCAGGGAGGGCACGGGGGCCGAGGCAGGACGGCAGGAGGAAGCTCAATCGTGTTTTCTCGCAGAGGCTACGGAGGTTCGTTTTCTACAACGACCTAGCCGCCTGTTCGAACGAAGGGCTGGAGGAGATCAGTCAGGAACTGCGAGGAAGGGCTGGAGGAGATCAGTTCAATCATGCTGTCTCGCAGAGGCTACGGAGATTCGTTTTCTACAACGCTCTGGCCGCCTGTTCGAACGAAGGGCTGGAGGAGATCCGTCAGGAACTGGGAGGATGGGAATTGGTGGTGCTGACAGGTGCACGCAGATGGGCTGGACCAGAACCAGCACCATCGGGGGATGCAGCCTGGCGGAGGGGAGCAAGGGGAACGAAAAGATCTAAAGCATGGGGAGTCGAACTTCTTCTGGCTCAACACATCGAAACAACAACCGCTCAGGCACATGTACATGCCGCCATGAACGACGCAGGGAATGGCCGCAGGAACGCGACCGGCCAACAACGGACTCGACTTGACCATCTTTGCTACCTACCCGCCACCGACCTGCTACCTTTAAGTCAGTACGGGCAAATGTAACCGATCAGTTTTGTATGGGTGGGAAGGTTTTGCGATCGAATAGCATGCAGATCGATGGTGATTGTCGGAGGTAGCCTGAACATTCACCTGATGCTTCACAGAGGAGGACCAGGAGGCCTAGAGTGGATGATATCACACACTCTTGGACCTTGGGCGGAACAATCAGAAAACGGCAATGCTAGGGAAGTCAGGAGGTCTTGCGTACAGAACGAACTTGTAGCAGATCTCTCCCGCGCAGGAGGACCAGGAGACAGGAGGGACGACATACAGAGAATGGCTCATGGGACGCATCAATGACGGCAAACTGCGCAGCGAGGCCTTCACAGGGGAAGGGAGGAGTGGGGACAGATTCTGTCAGGAGCCATGCCAGATGGTCCTTGAAGGATGCCGGGAGAAACAGCGGGAACGGTAATTCAGGACATTCTTCTGAAACAGGGGAACTCGTGACGACCCGGCCGCTCCATCTCTGAGAGAGACATGCCCAGAAGTGCCAGGAAACAAGCACAGAAAAACGAGGAGCCTTCTTTTCCATTCTGGGGCGATAGCTGGCGTCACGGGGAGGGGGAAAGAGGTCGGTGACGTCATGTTTCGCGCCGGCGGCGTCTGGGAATGCCCAGGGATCACCAAGGACTGGTAGGAGCAGCATGTAGGTGGCCATCTGCACCTCAGCGCCTGTGTGAACCACGGTGCCTGCGTGCACCACAACGCCCGTGTACACCACAGCAGCCGCGTGCAACGCAGCGCCAGTGTGCACCGCAGCATCTGCGTGCAACACAGCGCCTGAGCACACCACAGCGCCTGTGTACGCCGCAACAGCCGTGTGCAACGCAGCACCAGCGTACACCACAGTGCCTGCGTGCACCACAGTGCCTGTGTACACCACGGCGCCTGTGTGCACCACAGCAACCGTGCGAAACAGAACACCGTTGTTGTCTATAGAACATGATCGTTTATTCATTGTTTTGCCGATCGGCGCGGGCCCTCGCAACCCCCCCTCCCCCCCCCTCCCTCCCCCCATGGAGTAGATCTTGGGTGTTTTTTGGCGCCTGTTTCGAGTAGGTGGGATCTCCCCCAGAGGACGCACGGTTTCAAATAGATGCACAAAGCAGAGGTCCAGAGCCAGACCCCATCCCTCCCCCCCTTTCCCGTCCGCCCACTGTCGAAGCGGCGAATAAGAAAACGCTCACAATTTGAACAGGAACCCGTACGACAAAATGGGTCGCCCGTGGATTCCACAGCAAAGA